GGCTTCTCGCACGGCCAGGGTGCACGGCCGTGCAGGGATCTCGGCCAGCCCGTGCTCGGCCTCGTCCAAAACCGCACGGCCAGAGTTGCACTTTGCACGGCCATGCAATCTTCAGGGGTTGCCCGTGCGTGTCCTCGGCATAAGGCGCACGGCCATCTTGCTCACGTGCACGGCCGTGCAGCCTCCCTGGTCTGCCCGTGCAGCTCCCCAAAAACCTCGACATTCGTCCGTTCTTCGTCCAAACGACCCCAGACTCGCTCCTAAGCCTTCATTCACGTACTAGGACCTGAAACATCACAAACAAGCACAACCTAGCGTGAAATCGGCCTAAAACACGAGAATCAACACCTCAAACGGTGTAAGAATGGGGGTAAAAACATGTGTAAATGACGGTCTATACCTGGGTATATTTTCTAGCAACCAAAGATGAAACATTTGAGAAATTTCAATCCTTTGTTACCTTGCATAACCAATCTATAAAAACTATTCGCAGTGACAATGGGGGAGAATTTATATCTGATGAATTTGCTGAACTTTGTGATAAATCAGGGATAAAACACACTTTTTATGCTCCTAGAACTCCTCAACAAAATGGAGTTGTAGAACGTAAGAATAAGACTCTCATTGAGTGTGCTAGGACCATGTTGTTAGACTATAACCTGCCTAAGTTTTTTTGGGCAGAGTCAGTCAACACTGCTTGCTATATAATCAACCGAGTTTTAGTTCGAAAACAGTTAAACAAGACCCCTTATGAAATTTTAAAAGGAAGAGCTCCTAGAATCTCTTACTTCCATCCCTTTGGATGTCCCTGTTACACTCTAAATACTCGAGACACTCTAGGGAAATTTGATGCTAAATCCGACCCTGCAACGTTTCTTGGGTATTCTACTAAAGGTCAAGCCTATAGGGTGTTTAACAAGAGAACTAGGAAAGTAGAAGAATCAGTTCATGTCATATTCAATGAAACTGACCCAGTTACTCCTGACACTACTATGATGGTAGACCTAAGTGAACTTACTACTAGTCAAGTCTCTTCCTGTGAGCAGAATACAGGTGTGCAAAATCCATCCACTCAAGAATCCATAACTCAAGAAGATGTTGTACTGGATAAGTCTACAGAAGTACCTAAAGCTCCACCACACATTCAGAAAAGACATCCAGAAAGTCAAGTCATTGGCAAATTGAGTGATGGACTGCAAACTCGAGGTAAGTACACTCCTGGACAGTATGCTTTTGTATCCCAACTAGAACCTAAGAATGTTAAGGAAGCCTTAAATGATAAAGAATGGGGCATTGCTATGATAGAAGAACTTACTCAATTTGAGCATCTGCGTGTTTGGGACCTAGTTCCTCGTCCTCCTAATGTTATTGTCATAGGAACTAAGTGGGTTTTTAGAAACAAGTCAGATGAATTAGGGTTCATAATAAGAAACAAAGCTAGGCTTGTGGCACAAGGGTATCTTCAAGAAGAAGGCATCGACTATGATGAAACCTTCGCTCCAGTAGCTAGATTAGAATCTATTAGGTTACTGTGTGCATTTGCTAGTCACATGGGATTTCCTCTATATCAAATGGATGTGAAGAGTGCATTCTTGAATGGTATCATTCAAGAAGAAGTATACGTGTCTCAACCTCCAGGTTTCGTGAATTCTGAACATCCTGATTACGTTTATAAGCTAAACAAAGCTTTGTATGGCCTCAAACAAGCTCATAGGGCTTGGTTTGAACGTCTTACAACATTTCTACTTGAAAATTCATTCACTCAAGGAGGAACAGATAAAACTCTTTTTATAAAACATGTGAATGACAAAATTCTTCTTGTGCAAGTCTATGTGGATGATATAGTTTTTGGATCCACTGATCCCTCTCTTTGCACTGACTTCTGTAACACTATGCAATCTGTTTTTGAAATGAGCATGATGGGAGAACTTAAATTTTTCCTTGGTCTTCAAGTCAAACAAACTTCCTCTGGTATATTCATTAATCAGTCAAAATATTTACAGAATATGCTAAGCAAGTTTGATCTCAACAATGTTAAACCCAGTCCAACTCCCATGGCAGTCAATCTTAAGTTAGATCGAGATGAATCAGGTGTTCTGGTAGATGAAAAGAAGTATTGAGGCATGATTGGATTCCTGCTCTATCTCACTGCCAGTCGACCTGACATCCACTATAGTGTGTGTATCTGTGCTAGGTTTCAGTCAGCTCCAAAAGAAAGTCATTTGTCAGCTGTGAAAAGGATCTTTAGATACTTAAAAGGAACTCCTGAGCTAGGTCTATGGTATCCTAAACATAACAACTTCTCTCTAATAGGCTACAGTGATTCAGACTTTGCTGGTAGCTTAACAGATAGGAAAAGCACAACTGGTACCTGTCAATTTGTAGGAACCTCTCTAGTTTCTTGGTCATGTAAGAAGCAGGGTGTTGTTGCCCTATCTACTGCTGAGGCAGAATACATTGCTGCTGGTAGTTGCTGTACTCAACTCATATGGCTTAAAAACCAACTTAAGGACTATAATGTTGTGATAAATTCAATACCCCTTCTGTGTGATAACACCAGCGCCATATGTATGTCTAAAAATCCGGTGCAGCATTCAAGAACTAAACATATTGAGGTTAAGTATCACTTCATTAGAGATTTAGTTCACCAAAATACTATAACTATCAGTCACATTCCTACGGAGTATCAATTAGCAGATCTATTTACTATAGCCTTAAATGCTGATAGATTTACCTTTCTTTGTTATGAGATAGGGCTGCGATCTCCAGATAATCTGGAAGATCTGACTTGACTGTTTCTTACAATGTGGTTTCCTTATGTATATAGCTGCATTTATTTTCCTTCCTGTTTTGAATAGCTTACTATGTTTAAGTTTTCCTCTTGTGTGTCTTTGGTTCCCTATTTAAGTCTAATTTGGTTCTCGGTCTTTCTCATTCTTCCTTAGTGGTTTAGATATCCTCTCTGCTCGTAGTCATGGTGCTAGGGTTCTCTAAAACCTTCACAGGTACTCTGTTTCACAACCCTATTCCTGCAAATGCTCATCGTCATTCCATATCATTTGCTAATCGTCCTTTTATTCCTACTCATCATGTTCCATTTGCTGACCTCATAGAGTATGGTCTGGATGTCACTGGGTATGCCCACAATCTGGGTTGGGATTTCCTAATCGATGACACCCCTGAGCACATTTGCCCTGAAGGTGTGCGTCTGTTTTACTCGAATTTTAGGTCATTTGGGCTTCATACTCGCACCTTCACCACTCTGATCTATGGAAACCTTGTCACCATTCCTCTTGAGGACCTTAGGCGTCTACTCAATATTCCTAGGTTTGGAGAAATTCTAGCAAATGACTTTGAGTTTCCTCTTTTCAACTTTGACATAGTCCATGAGTTTGTGCTCCTCACTGGTCATGAACCTGATGCTTACCTTACATTGCCTGCTGCCTTCCTGCTTCCTTCCCTTCGTACTTTTCACCATCTTTTGACTCGTATGTTCCTCCCTCGTACTATCCTTCTTGATCGAGTCACTCCACTAGATCTTTGGGTAATGCAGCATGTTGTTCATGGTGTCCCTCTCGATTACTGCCATATTCTGTTTGGACACCTTTATCCCTTTCAACAGTTTGAATACCTTGGCCATCTCCCATTCGGTCCCCTGATCACTCGTCTTATTATTCGCCTTGGTATCTCAATGGACCCGTTTCGGATCGTCACCCCAAATTTCTATCTTACTGCTGACGATATCCTCGACGAGATTGCGATTGCCGTTGAGGGGGAGGACACTGAGGATGACAGTGATGCTGATGACAACACCTCTGCTGACAATGATGATTCTGAAGACGACGGACCGGTGGAAGCTGCAGCGGTTGAGCCTGAAGGTGAGGTCGTACCTAGCCACCAACTAATTATTATAACGACTCAGATGAAAGGATGAAACATGAAAGGATGAAACCCTAATGCGCTAATCGCCGAAACCGATCCAACCACCCAGCCACCACCATTTGATCGACCAACCTTCCCCCAGTTCGCAGCTTCCCTCTTCCTTGTATCGTGTTCGAGTTTCCTCCTTCCTTGTCCGATGCTAACGCCGACGCCGCCTCCCCCTCTTTGTGACGCTGCCTTCCCTCTCCGACTCCGCATCGATCTTGAATTAATTGAAAGATTGTTATGTTATCTAATTTGCAAGGGTGTTAATTGGTGAGTAAGGAGTAATTAAGTTAGTGGTAAACTCCCAAATAACAAAGAACAAAGAACAAGTGGTAAATTAATTAACAAATCGGTTTAATGTTTGACAATTGCCGTTGACATATTCCATTATTCATAGTACATGAATGGAAGTATAAAGATTAAAATATTGTAAATAAGAGTTAATAATTAAATTATTAATTTTTACATAAAATGTAAAAAAAACTCTGAAAATTTAAAATTAGACAGTCTGCTCACAGTCGAGATTCAGATCGGTTTTTCCTTATTAACCTAACCCAAAATATGCTTCTCCCTCTCCTTTGCGGTAAATCAGTATAACCGATTTGTAACCATTAAGCGGTTACAAACCGGTATCGATATTCAAATTTGGTCTGGCCTTAAATGGTAAACCTCCATATTTCATCTCTCATTGGTATGAGTCAATCAAGAATCTTGAACTCCACGTTATTGTCCATTGTCGATCCATACTTGTCAAGTGTTTGAAAATCTGGAATAGAGTTAATGTTTCCTAGAGCTAGCCCATCACATTGCTTACTTGCCTCTTGCTTGTGGCCGATACTTCATTGAGAACTCATTTACTAAGCCCACAGATTCACCTTCTTTGTCTTTGAAACCCACACCATATAAAAGAGCTCTGACCAAAGGGGTCCTTTTAATGCTCAAGTCCTCCTTGAGGAATCGACCCATTTGTTGATTGGAATGAGAAAACGAGAACTCTATAAATTTATTGACGCCATCTATGAATTTAGGTGCTCTCCTATTTATTATACTCACCCAATCTTTATTTGGAATGGATGCACAGGGATTCTGCTGACTCTAAAGAATCCAAGACAACCTCCTGGTTCAAGAGATTCATAGGGCGTGAACAGAAACCCGAAGTAACCTGGCCGTTCCCTTTTGTGGAGGGAAGGTTGTTCATCTTAACATTGCGAGCGGGCGTTGATGGCTACCACATCAGTGTTGGGGGTCGCCATGTGACTTCATTTCCTTACCGCCCAGTATGTTGCAAATTTGCCCTTGTGAAATGCTTATCCATATTTCAAGGGTGTATCATACATCTAGCTTTTTAATTTATCCAGCGACATACTGTTATTTTTTGTCTGTGCTGTTGATTGCCTCTAGTTGATGCTTTCTGGTATCTTCCCACTTCAAGCATGTCCCTTCTATTGTGCCCTAAAAAGAAAACTGTCTTATGTACCGTATTTGCATGTCCCATTAGTTTACCTTCTTGTTATTTTTCAGGGATTTACCCTTGGAGATGCTACAGGGTTAGCAATAAAAGGAGAAGTAGACATTAAGTCAGTTTATGCAACTTCGCTCCCCAAGTCTCATCCGAGCTTCTCTCCTCAAAGGGTACTGGAAATGTCAGAGAAGTGGAAAGCTCGTCCCATCTCAAAGAGTCCTATTTGGCTTTTTATTGGGATTTTGTCAGCCACAAACCACTTTGCAGAACGCATGGCAGTTAGGAAAACATGGATGCAATCATCATCGATAAAGTCCTCTAATGTGGCAGTTCGTTTTTTCGTGGCATTGGTAAGAATTCCATGTTCCAGTTGCCAAGTATTCAACATATTTTCAGAAGTCCAAATTTTACATTTATGTTGATAAATAGCCTTCCATCTTCTGCTATTGAGTCATTTACCTTCTTTTATCTTAATTGTCACCGTATCGACCTGCAGAATCCAAGAAAAGAGGTGAATGCTGTGCTGAAGAAGGAGGCTGATTACTTTGGTGACATTGTGATAGAAACATAATTTCTATCGGATTTGCGGATTGGATCGACATTTGGGATTTCAGGGATTGGAGAAGAGAATTGGGGATTTAAGGATTAGAAGATAGAGATAGGGATTGAGATTGGGAATTAGAGGAAGAAGAAGAATAGAAGATGGAATCGGCCGAAGCCTTAGAGGGCTAGAGAACGAGAAATTAGGAGATAGAGGATTAGGGTTTGGGAGAGATACTTTCTGAATAATTGTTCTTGCTTGGTTCATAATGAATGACAAAGTACATACTTATAGGAATATTGAAAACCCTAATAATAATCCTAATTCTACTAAAATACTACTAACCATATTAATAATATTTCCTAATAATGATAATAATACTAATAAGGATAGAAGACCCGTTTCTTAAGGAAACGTGCTTCTATCATACCCTCCCCCTTGAGACCAACCTTGCCCTCAAGGTTGATCAACTCGACCCACTCCTCTTTCTTACTCACGCAATATGCACGCCGTTTGCTCCACCTCTTGCGCTTCCTTTTCTTCCGGTCAGGCTCAACTACTTGACTTGGCCTTCCTTCTTCAACCTCGTGCTGCTGCACCCAAGTTGTGAATGTCATTGATGATGGCCTACTCTTCGCGTCCTCAAAGCATTGAAATGGCTCTTTCTCTGTTATCACCATCCAACAACTCAAGGAACCCAAGGGTTCGTTCTTGTTCAAGAATTCATCCTTAAGTACCAACTCATCCAAGCCTTCAAACATCTTCTTTGGAGCTAGCCCACAAACTTCTCTTGTTGCTTCTCCCACTACTTTTGGGCCATGCTCTTCCATAAGTAATGAGTGAACCTTCCCAAAGCAATGAGTGCACTCCGCACAAAAGAGATTTGACCAAAGTGCTCATTTGAAGCCCAAGCCTTTTACAGTGAAGCAGCCCTTCATGTTCTTTAAGCCATCTGGTCTTGTTTCTTTTCAACCCGGACCCAAGTCTTGGTTCAACAAGCTTCTCCAATGCCAACCCAGTGAACCCACGGTCTTCCTCTGTACATGGGTTCGTTGATCTAGGCCCAGAACCATAGAGAAGAGCCCAAGTTAAGGTGCTAATGTATGGCCCAAGAATTGGCCCACGACCTATATCTCGCTCGACCCTTTTTATTATCAACTGTGCCCCATCTTTAATAACTAATTCAGCCCACTTAGTTCCCCACTACAGCCCCGTACCCTGGTCTCCTTGCGGCCCGCTCAACAGATGAAGTCGGCCCGAAACCAGCCCGGTCCACTCGAGGCCTTGCTGCTCAATGCAACCCTTAGGGTTTGTGATAGAACAGGCGCCGCCGCCATCTTCCTTCACCTCCTTCGATTGACACGGCGGCGAACCCTTCCGCCAACGGGAAGTCCAACGTGCTACCGACGCCGCCTCCTCGTCATCCAAAGCGACGCTCGCTGCCGCCACCATCCTCTTCTCCGGTGATCCAAATCGGGAGCCTTGCGCCGCCACTTCTCTCGGCAGGGAACAACCCACCAGGTGGCGATGAACCCAACTCGATTCCCGCCTCCTCTCCTCGGCATTCTCCGTCGTTTCTTCCGCCGGCCAAGGACGAGCCCCCAGGTGGGTGGCAGGCGATGGCGGAGCTGCCCCGCTCGACATCCGCGCCGACTTTATGCCCAACGCCGGTCCAAATAACTCAGCTCCCATCCTCATCTCCCTTTTGCGATTCACCATCGTCGACAATGGACTCGTCATCCCTTTGGCGCCCAGAACCGCCGTGCAAAACTCCTGGCGACGAGACGGCCGACGTTCTTCCTTCCTCAGCTTTGACTTCTTCTCCGCGTTCACAATGCCTAAGCTCGCCGCGATTCTCGACTCCGGCAGGGCAACCGGTTCGCCCTCTGCTTTCTTCTCTTCTCGTGGCGAGTCTGATTCCCATCTCGTCACTGTCGGCGCCTCGAAGGTCGCTGCTAAAGGTCGCGGCGTTCCCCCTGTTTTGGATTTCGGCGACTCAAGCCAGCGGTTCTTTGTCTTCGACGCATCATCGCCGATTGACTACGTCACGGAAGCTACCGCCAATCGCGAGTCTCCTGGTGGTTGCGGAACTCTGATCGTGGTGGATCCCTCATTGCCAGCAGGCTTCGACGGTGGTTCCTCATGCTTCTTCTGCTTCTCAGAAGCCCAGCCATCTCCGGGTCCTCTTTTCTTCTTCCTGAACTTCCATGTCGAGGGCCTCCCATAACCCGAGGCTCTCTGTTTTGCAGGGATCTCACGCAAAGACCCAATTGTAGCTGGGTGTTGCGACTCAGGAGCCTCGACCTTCACCGCCCAAAAGTTGTCTTTGGCGATGTTGGCAGCATTACGTGGTTGCTCAGTGGTGGTGAATGTGGGGTCAGGCGATCGGGATACAGGGTGTCTTGCTGCACCTTTCTGGAACTGCTGCTGCTGCTGGCCACGGCTCTCGACGGCCACCTCTCCTTCTTCAACTGCCGATGGTGATGTCGCCGGGAAGATGGCCGTTGCTGCAGCTTCCTTCTCAACCGTCAGCGAACTCTCACGTATAGCTCGTAGTTTTGCCTGCATCTGTCGTTTGCACGCCTCTTGTCTTACATTGAAAGCCTCAATCCTTTGATTCATCTTATGGACAAGGTGATAGAACTCGTCCCTGGTTGAGAGTTGGGATGAACTCAAATTCGCAACCGGAGCTCTGATACCAAATGATAGAAACATAATTTCTATCGGATTTGCGGATTGGATCGACATTTGGGATTTCAGGGATTGGAGAAGAGAATTGGGGATTTAGGGATTAGAAGATAGAGATAGGGATTGAGATTGGGAATTAGAGGAAGAAGAAGAATAGAAGATGGAATCGGCCGAAGCCTTAGAGGGCTAGAGAACGAGAAATTAGGAGATAGAGGATTAGGGTTTGGGAGAGATACTTTCTGAATAATTGTTCTTGCTTGGTTCATAATGAATGACAAAGTACATACTTATAGGAATATTGAAAACCCTAATAATAATCATAATTCTACTAAAATACTACTAACCATATTAATAATATTTCCTAATAATGATAATAATACTAATAAGGATAGAAGACCCGTTTCTTAAGGAAACGTGCTTCTATCACATTGTGATTTTACCATTTATGGATCGTTACGAGCTCGTAGTTCTTAAGACGATTGCCATCTGTGAGTTTGGGGGTGAGTTTGGGGTAAGTAAAAGATATTAATGGTTAACCTCTTATCCAAAACACATATATGTACTTCTGTGTCTTTGGAATTGAGTTTGTAACCAACTCACGAAGTGTCATTCCAGGTTAAAAATGTTTCGACTGCATACATCATGAAATGCGACGATGACACATTTGTAAGGGTGGAGACAGTATTGAAAGAAATTGATCATGTCTCCCGAAAGAAGTCTCTCTATATGGGAAACCTGAATCTGTTGCATCGTCCTCTGAGAAATGGAAAATGGGCAGTCACTTTTGAGGTAATGCCATAACGTTCTTTTTTATTTGTAATCATAAGAATTCCCAAATCTTCATCATAGGTGGACAAGATGAACAATGATTCCTACCCATATCTGAAAGCTGTTCCTTGCAGTCACTACCAGTAAAGTTAGAAAGATTTCCTTCATCTTTCTCATGTAATTTGCTAATGTTTAACAGGAGTGGCCAGAATCAGTATATCCACCTTATGCAAATGGTCCAGGATATGTAGTGTCTAGTGATATCGCCAACTTTATCGTTTCTCAACACAACAATCGGAGCCTCAGGGTAAGTGACCTCTGTTAACCTTTGTTCTAAGAAAACTCTCTTGCTTGCATGGGTATCTTTTTGGTTACAAATACACAATCAGCAAATTCATCAGCCACAAATGGGTTTGTTGGCAGCTATTCAAGATGGAAGATGTGAGCATGGGAATGTGGGTTGAGCAATTCAACAGCACGACACCCGTCCAGTACTCCCACAGCTGGAAGTTCTGTCAATATGGATGCATGGAAGATTACTACACAGCACATTACCAGTCGCCGAGGCAGATGATTTGCCTGTGGGATAAGTTGTCGAGAGGACAAGCTCATTGCTGCAACTTCAGATGACAGTATCTGAACCGAATTAACCAAAACGGGTTGGTAGCATTCATAGATTGTTCTGGCAGTGGAATCCTTGTGGCAAAAGGGAGGAGAGTTACTTGCATTGTAGGAAGAAGCCAGGCTAAGTAGTGTAGAAATATATATATGAAGGTAGTCGTTCGACATGTAGTATTCGTCTGTACTCCCTATGTAACTGAAACAAAGCAAAGCATTTGCAAATGATGAGAATTCCATTCATCAGTGATGAAGCTCTGGCACCAGCCATTTTCCACGTCTTATCTCGTGCCCATTTATGCTCGGTTTCGACATGATTGTTGGAAGCTGAACGTCGATTCTGAACATATTTCTATACTGCTGGCCGACGGCTGTCAGATGGAAGTTAATGGAGCCATCAGCCAAGCTAGGAAATCGAATTGCGAGGAGAGGTTTTGAACTAAAACCTAAATTTGGCGAAAAGTTTTAAGAAAATAAAGTCTAATCAACTTTACATTTTTCTCAATCTTTACAAAGCATGTTTTTCCTCAAATTTCAGAAAAAAATATCATTCAGTTTAGTACAAATTGTCCAGAATTAAGTGGAAACAAAGCAACAAACACAAAATAGATGATCTGAGCATCATCAAACAATATAATGCCATGATATCACATATAAATTGCCCAGAGAAAAACGCAACACAGCTCAATTAGTCGTTTCTTGATTTGAAGCAGAAAACCAGAGTCCCAACCCAGACCCAGCAAACCGATCCGCCATAATATTATCCAACCGAGCTCCCATCTCCTCTGTTAAAAAATTCCTCCAATCCCCAACCTCCCCCTTCCTGTAAAACGAGCTGTTATGTATAGTATACGGCATGCTATCCGTTGGAGCGAAACGGCCATTCTTGGTCACATCCAATCCCTTCAAGCTCTCTATGCTGCACAGATCAATAATCCCCTGCACAATCCCCTGTTTCTCTTCCTCCAAGCTAAACCCACAACCCAAAAAATCCGCCAATGCTTTCACGCACCTCTCCGTTTCCCTCTTCAATTCCTCATATCTCACAAACAAAACCCTCTCAGGGAACTCCAAACACGCCCTCCAGTACCCAAGAACATGGTCCCAGTACGGCCCGGCGAAGGAATTGCCTTCACAGAACTGCTCGAAAGCCTCTTCGATCCCCATGTCGGCGTCCTCGGCGTCGTCCTCCTCCTTCTTCTGTTTCCTCAGGAATTGCCACAGAGAAACCACCACGTCCTTGGGATCCCGGCAGATGTAAGCAAGCTTGCAGCCGGAAGCCGCGGCGGCGGCCGGCAAGGAAGTGCAGGGGATGTGGGTCGCGACGAGCGACTTGTTTCGAGCCGCCGAAGGGGCGAGCTCGAAGAAAGGGACGCAATCGTGGGGGAAACGGGAGAGGAGAGGGGATTGAGAGGGCGTGTAGTGGGTTCTTGTGGTTATGGCGAAAGAGAGGGCCTTGAGCCATGTGGTGCCGGTTTTCGGGTAGCTGCAGAGGATGGTGGTGTTGGGTTCAGGGGTGAAGTGGGTTTGAGCTGCGATTAGGTGTTCAAGGTAATATTGGTGGTACCAAAATCCTTGGTATTGGTAGAGAAGATTGGTGGTGGAATTGCAGTCTGGTTTTGTGGGCAACGTTGAGACCAACTGCTTGATTCCTTCGTCGGCGGCCATTGACTTCTGTTGCTCTGTTTTCGACATTTTTGGCTGAGACGGGATCGTTTCTGAATTTGGGAATCTAATCTAAAGAATATATTAAGGGCAGGGGTTTCTCAGTTACCCCTTCACAGATTCAAATTCCCATTCTCCTTATCCTTATGCTTCCACGTCAGCACAGCAGGGGCAACTCCATCCACAACCCTCTTCACCGAGAAATAGAATACACCTTGAATTGATACATTGGAATTAGAGTTTCAACCCAGCAACTGCCAATTACCCCCTACTTTGTAAAGAATGGATCACCATTTAAACAACACTGTCCCTCCCTCCCCCGTAAACCACTGCGTGCAATTATCAATCCAACCAAAGTATTGAAGACCTCTTAACTTCCTCGCCGGCTAAAGTATTTTCCATTGCGAATGCTTGGTGTGAAATTCAACCGAGTAGAACACAAGTGGGATACGGCGGTGTGTGTCTGCAGCTTGAATTGCGATCCGCCATTGGTGCCTGAAGGCGAATTCCCTACCAAATTGGATGAATTCGGCGGGAACGGGCTTTGGGTAGTTCAGTAGATGTGTCATCGACGACAATTTATACCATCAGCGGCGAATAAAAACGTTATTGAGAGAACTCGCTGGTGACGGACGACAACCGAAATCGAGGGCCATCAACTTTCAATGTCGGCGATCGTCTCTCCATACAACCAACACCGCCACCTTCCGAATGCTTTTCGATCACATAGGCAATTGTAATTTAAAATCGATAGTTGCTCCAATTGTTCAGTCGTGTGGTTTCTTGCTCCACCTCTTTCGCCTTCTGTTTCGATTTTCGAATGGCTATCGATGTTACACTACCTTTTTTTTTTATCTATCTCCTATATCTATTTGTTTCGTTGCCCACTTCTGCAAGATAACTTATATTGCTGTGATGTTTTGAGGAGAATTATCTTTCAAATCTCGCATTTCATACTGATAAGATGCAGTATAATGCGGGCTGTTGGTGGAAAACAGCCAAATGAATTCCCTAAGAAGTATGGGGAATAGGCTACTAAGTTGTAGCCGATCCTGTTAGAAGTGAGATTTTTCCATGGCTAAGCTTCAATATAGTATCAGTGATGGATTGTTCAATAGATGGAGAGTATGGAGTGAAAGCAAATGTTTGCAAATACACTTTTATGTATCAAAGATGTAGGAAGTGTTGGTAAGATGATCAATGATGCTTGCAGGATTATGAATATCATGGATGGATGGTAAAGGTTTTGGACCTAATGTTGTTATTATTTATACATTTTGTATTCCTGCTCTTTCTTCACAAGCGGGCTTTGTAATCCTTCTGATTTTTTATTTTAAAGTTACCAATACAAGATCAAGATCTATAGTTATACAATTATTGGCCGTGGTAATTTACTATCATAACTACACATAAGGAAATAACACCCGACCATCGGCCGGGCACCATGCTAGTGGTTTATAAAAGAGGTTAATTGCATGGTTGGTCACTACGATTACAAAGAACATTCAAGTTTGGTCACTCGAAATATTTAAATCCATTGGTGGTACTTCAATTTACTGAAACGGTTCACGTTAGGTCACTCTCCGTCCAACTGTGTTAACTTTTACTGATGTGGCAGTCAACTCTCAAAGTTGACCGTTAACTTAGTGACATGGCAATTAAGAAATAATAAATAAAATAAAATTTAATCTATTTTAATGTCCAACTCATTTTTACCGTAAAATAAAAAAAAATATTATATTATTTCATTTATTTAAAGGATCCATATCTGATTCGCGACCCCGGTCTCCCACCTCGACCTCTCCACACCCTGGTCAATGGTCATGAATCGTTCAGAACTATGTCCAGAGAGTAGTCAATACATGTTACTAGCACAGACGACAATCTCCAGTTGTTACCCTTAAAAATTTCAAATAATCTCAGAACTCAAATCAACTAAAGCCAATCGAAAGAGAAACGGGTAAATGACACATTTGGTCACTGAGATTACTAAATCATGTCATATTTAGTCACTAGAAAAGTTTAATATCAATTTTGGTCACTCAAATTACTAAAACCGGTCACATTTAGTCACTCTCCCGTTAGTTTTCGTCCGACTTCATTAATGGAGTTGTACGGAAACTAACGGGAGAGTGACTAAATTTGACCTGTTTTAGTAATTCATGTGACTAAATGTTACACATTTCAGTAATTCGAGTGACCGGAGTTGGATGGAGGTTAATGGGAATTTGACTAAATGTGACATGTTTCAGTAATTCGAGTGACCAAAATTGATATTAAATTTTTTTAGTGCCTAAACATGACACGATTTAGAAATCTCAATGATCAATTACCCAAAGAGAAACAGAGAAGGAAGGGAAGAGATAATAATTGCCTTAGCTAATTCTACACTCTCGGTGGAAAATTCTTTTCCTCTGTTACTCGCCGGAAACAGGGCAACTTTGTTCTGCTAATCTGCAGGTACACAACAATTACAGAGATGGGACAAGCTCCACAAATCCAACTTCAAGTCATGGGTAAATCTCTGTTTCTTTTTTAAGTATCAAGACTGACCGTCAATGTTCAATCTGTAGAAATGGTCTCCACTTGGCTCTGTTTTGCTATAATCGGCGATACAACAGGTGGCGGTCATCAGTACGATCATTATGAAATATGAACCAAGCAAAGAAGAGATCGAAGAGCCACTGGCCAGCAGTTTGAAGATGAAGCAGGACAGGACACCCCAAAAGACTTCTGATGGTGGCTCAATATCGCGCTCTACACGGTAGGCATGCTATTGGGACAATCCGCTGCGCTTCTACTGGGAAGGCTCTACTTCATCAATGGAGGGAACAACAAATGGATGTCATCACGCCGCGAGAGGGAGATAGCGGTAAAGCAAGGACATGAGGCTATTGGGACAATCCGCTGCGCTTCTACTGGCGAGGATGTTGTAAATGGATGTTATAATATTATTTATTTATTTTATAGTAAAAATGAGTTGGACATTTAAAATAGATTAAATTTTATTTTATTTATTATTTTTTAATTGCCACGTCACTAAGTTAACGGTCAACTTTGAGAGCTGACTGCCACATCAATCAAAGTTAACAGAGTTGGACGGAGAGTGACCAAACATGAACGATTTCAGTAAACTAAAGTACCACCAATGGATTTAAATATTTCGAGTGACCAAACTTGAACGCTTTTTGTAATCTCAGTGACTAACCATGCAATTAACCCTTTATAAAAGGAAACATTATACCATAGGCAGAAAAGGAAAAATTCTGATGGAATAAAAGGTCAAAAGGTCATTAGCGATTCGGTCACTAACTTTTAGATTTTAACAAATTGGTCATTCATGTTTTCACTAACTAACAAATCAGTCAAACCGTCAATCTCCATCCACATTTCATCCATAATTACCATGTCAACAGCCACGTATAGGGCTGGAAGTTTGGTACAAGTATTTGGGATATACCGAATATCGTACCGAATTTATCTATATTTGGTATTACCGA